TGTTTAGTAAAAGGTGATATAATATAATGGGAAAACCATGATATGCCACTAGTACCCATGTGACTTTGGGCAAGTGATTTAACTTTTCCGATCTTCTGTTTCCGCATACAAAATAGACACATAATGTTATGTTGTGTTGAGAACAGTGTTATGTTGGAAATCATGTCTGAAAAGGTCCCCAGCATCATGCTTATTACACTAAAAACAATTAGTTTTACATCTTTCTTTACCTATGTCACCAGAATATCTTAAGTTCTGTTTTATTCTTTTTCCTCTTTGTTTCAGCAAGAATGGTCACTAGGTGCTTTCAGAATCGGGAGAGTGAGGGGACAGGCAGCCCTGGTTATACATTAGCATAATTTACAACCCCCTCACCCATCTGTGCCCCTCTCCATCACTCTTTTTAGAGCAACAGGTACAAAAGAGACTAGAAAAACTTTCAGGAGATACTCTAAAGCAGGAGGAAGGAAGATGCGATGCAGAAACACAGGGTAAGTGGAGACAGCAGCTGCTACTTGACGGGAGAGTTTACAAAATGAAACTAATTGGTTTTAAAGGCACCTGATCAACTAGGCTAAATATGTCTTCTGGGCTCACTGTTTCAGTAGATGGACCTATGGGTTTATTTTTGCCAAACCAGAATAAGATGAAAAAATCATGGTGACAATGGAGGACTCTTAACAGTGACAAATACTTTGCCTCTGAGTTCTCTCTTCTCCATTAGACAAAACAACGAGGGCCTCTTTGGTAAAAGTTAACTAAATATGAAGATTCCATATAATAGAAATCCTTGCTAAGCATTTGGAAGGCCTTTTTTTGGGGGTGGGGGTGGGGGTAAAGCTGTCTTTCATTAAGTAAAATATATCGATGCTTTTGCTTCTTTTTTCTTTAAAAAATTTTTTTTAATGCTTTTGCTTCTTAAAAGAACCTTAAAAGTGGTTAAGAAACTTGGACCCATGTATTTGAGCCACTGTCTCTTGTAAACATGAATTCTGGGCAGAGAAATGGGGAATTGCATTTCTTAGAATGGTGAGGAGTACCCTTCACTTTCTTACAGCAGGGAGGGAAATGGGAGACCGTGCGGACGTTGAGAGTATGATCAGACTTTAATATTCTTAAACAACAGAGAAGAAATAGCTTTCAAAACCTTTAACTTGGGGAATATAGGAAAAACAGGAGAGATGAATTGTCTTAACTATGCTAATAGTCAAACTGACTTGCACTGTGTTCCTGCAGCCAGAGACCAGACTGGCCTGGATGCACCTGAGTGAGAAAAATTTCTTTGAAAGCAGAGGGTACTCTAAAAGCTAAATAAGAAAATCAAAAGGAACTGCTTTCACTAGGAAAAAAAATTCAACACAGTATGTACTAAAAGGCTTTCTTTTCTTTTTTCTTCTTAACACTATGGAATTTTAAACATTTTTTTAACATATGAAATATTCTTGCTCTATATAAAAAATAATAGGAGATTTTTCTTTTGTATTTTTACAAGTACTTCCATCTCTGAGACTAGAGCTTTCCAGCTTTGGGCTAATAACATGTCCAGATTGAAAGGCATTACAGAAAGAAAGTCAATTTTCTCTAGAAGCAATTATACATACAGTCTAGGAAAAGGCCAGTTTTACTTAGCAAGGACCACCCATGCTGTATGTTTGTTGTATTACTTGATATCAAAGCAGAAACATCAAATTCTTCCTAACACACATGAAATAAAGAGCCAGGCTAAGGAACTCCCACATCCAATTCAGAGGTATCTGTTACAGCATACGGAACTTGGCAATGCTGCTACTACCATTTTACTGGAAAGGGACACTGCTATTGACTATATAATGCACTATGATTTCTTTAACTTTATATATATTTTGGGTAAAATGAGCATGATTTTGATCTTAGTTGTCACAGACGCAAGTATATTCTTAATGGATGGTACTTAGGTACCATATCATCAGAGTAATAGCAAGAATTTGCTGATTCTTTGTCATTAGCCCACCTGAAAATATTTAATCACGATTATCAGGATTATTATCATAACTTCAGAGGGGGTGATCAATACAAGAATTATCATCTCTGTTTCGTTTTGCCTCATTATGATTTTGATGTAATGACTTGCATTCATTTAACGTGCACTTACTACTCAGTGCTAAACACAGTCATGGGAGAGACAGAGCTAAATGAAAAATGGCCCTTAGGACAATATGTTCTTGGGGTGGGAGAGAGGAGACAGACAGAAAATAGCCACAGTAGATTGAGAGATGGATGCACACCATATTTTGCATAGCATGTAAGAATGCTTAAAAAAGCGTGTAGTAGAGAAAAGATGGTCAGAGAGAGAGAGAGAGAGAGAGAAATGTGAGGGCATCCTTGAAAGAGGAGAGATGGTTTCCTGTGTGGATGAAGGGGTTGTTTCTGCAGGAATAAGATAACGACCAGTACGCGAAGGTATGAGAATGTGAGCAGATCTGTTGGTCTTAGAGTAGATCTGTGTACGGCAAATGAGCCCGGAGAAGAAGGGAAGGCCATAGCAGGACGGGTGCTGTACCACAATAAGAAGTTTAGGCTTTCTGGGTGCCTGAGTGGCTCAGTCAGTTAAGCGTCTGCCTTCTGCCCAGGTCATGATCTCAGGATCCTGGGATTGAGTTCCACATCGGGCTCCCTGCTAGCAGGCAACCTGCTTCTCCCTCTGCCTTTGCCCGTCCCCCTGCTCATGCTCTCTCTCTCTCTCTCTCTCAAATAAATAAAGTCTTTTTTAAAAAATGAAAGAAAGAAAGAAAAGAAGTTTAGGCTTTCTTTTTTTTTTTTTAAAGATTTTATTTATTTATTTGACAGAGATCACAATCAGGCAGAGAAGCAGGCAGAGAGAGAGGGGGAAGCAGGCTCCCCACCGAGCCTAGAGCCCGATGCGGCGCTTGATCCCAGGACCCTGGGATGATGACCTGAGCCAAAGGCAGAGGCTTTAACCCACTGAGCCACCCAGGCACCCCGGAAGTTTAGGCTTTCAACTGCAGGGCATAATTTTATATATTACCCAAATACTCCAAAAGTGTATGTTGTAAAACAGTACGATATGACATAGAGATAGATAAACCAATGAAACAGAATAAGAAATGGAGAAACAGAGTAGAAAATTTCAATGATCTATTTGTGGAAGTTTAATATACAAAAAGCTAGCATTGCCAATAAGGGAGTAAAAGAGATTTTTCAACAAGTGGTATTTGGACAACTGATTGACCATTTGAAAATAAAATTTAATTCCTATATGCCACACGGTGCATTATAAAAATTCTCAGATGGGTTAAAGATTTAAATGTAAAACATACCAGAAGAAAATGTTTATAATCTTGGGGTTAGAAGATATCCTTCTTTCTAATGTACAACAAGGTCAGATATCACAAAGGAAAAGACAGATAGGATCACCAAACCACAATCTTCAAAAATGACAAGGTTCTGAAAGGTGTAAGGTACTACAGCTCTAAGATAAATGACAAGGTGGGAAAAATATTTGTAAATCTATGTCACAGTTAAAGAATTAGTACCTACAATATATACCGAGCTCCTATAAATCTAAAAAATCTAACCCAAGAAAAACGGGCAAAGAGCACAAATAAAAAATTCATGAAAGAAATGATATCTCATGGTTACAAAAGTATGTTCAATCCCAGTTATAATCAAAAGAATGCTTGTAGACAATTTTATTTTTCACCTGTTAGATTACTAATAGGAGACACATATGGGTGACAGATATACCAAATAATGATTGAAAATGTCCAGTGTTTGTGAGGGTGTGGAGAAATGAAGAACTCTCAAAAACTGATACTTTCTAGAAGATAGTTGGTTAACATTTATAATATAAGATGTGCATATCATTTGATCCTGTACATCCATAGCTAGCAACTTATTTTATAGAAAAAAATCTATATGCACATAAATATGAAAAAATAGTATTAAGGATATTTATTGCACCATCATTTGTAATAGTGAAAACCTGCAAACAACCTAGTGGTCTGCCAAAAGGATTAATTTAATAGACTGCAGCATGTAGATACAAAAATTACTATGGTATTATTAAAAATATATATACTGTCATGGAAACAAAGCCATGACATATGTTTTGCTGAAATAAACAACTGGTAGAATAACATTCATAGTATAATCTGCCAAGAGAGGCAGTGAACTACAGAGGTGAGGAGGATGGGCTTTGAGGTCAAACAGACCTGGATTTGAGTCCCAGTTCCATTATATATCAGATATGTGAAAATGACTAATTCCTCTGAGTCTTCATTTGGTTTCTTCATTTGTCCAACTGGAGTGGGTTCTAATAGAACCTACCCCACAGAGTCATAAGGAGAATTTCTAGCACACAGTAGAGGCTAAGTATATACTAGTTATAATTATTACTGTTACCATTTTTTGCATACCTATTATTTTCAACCAATTCTCTTATGATAACAACTTCAAAAAGCAAATCTAATATCCTTTGGAAAATTGTGCTGGAAAGAGTCTTTAACCAAAACTATACATCAAAGACACTTTTAGCTTATGTAAAAAAAATTCTGTTTATCTGATCATCTAGTAGATAGGATAACAAGTCTGACACATCAATTTTTGACATAGTTCTGTTTTGACTGAATATTCATAAGCCACAATGCAAATAAGGAACACATTTGGACACTATAGTCAAGAATCAAAATAAAGAACTATTACCTTCAGATAGCTGCTGTTATGAGAACTTTAAAAAATCTCAATGGCACAAAATAGAAATCATCTTCTAATCAGCAAACTGATTATTAATATCATTTTGTGGTAGTTCTTATGTATACATATTTAATTTTCAATTGTGTTATCTGGAAAAACACACCAAAAAGTGGGAAGGCACCCTTTTAAATACTTTTCTCTAATAACAGTAGGAAAATGAGCCATTCAAAATGAGAAAAACGTGCTATGTAATAACATGTCAAATGCCTAGATCAACATAGAGTTCATACACAAAGAACCATACATACCCTTCTATTCGGAAAATCGTTCGAAAGCTGTCTCCCAAGCTTTTATAACTGTTTGGATCGGTTGCACATCTCTGAATCTGGAACCTAGGGAAAAAGAAAAAATCAAACAACAACAAAAAGATCCAAGTTAAGAATTTTGCCAAATGGCTTTCCCCATTTTTCAGTCTTAGGACACTTAGCCTTTTCAGGTTAACCTAAAATATTCTGGGTTTTGCTATAGATTCTATTGATTTATTTGCCTTCTATAATCTTAACCTTATTTTTGTAGACTTTAAAATTATATTCTTCTGTACTTAAATAGAAACTATAGAAAGAGTTTTTTCATCTGTTTCTTAGCCAGACAGATGCACCCTAAGGCATGTGTGCCTTTTTCTTTTTATGAAAAGCATACACAGATGTCATAGATTGTTTTACTGTATAATTCAGAAATCTGAAGGTGCATATGAAACAAATAAGTAGCTCTATTTCTTATCTTAATTAGTGCCCCCTTGATGGTAATTTAATACAAAGGTTAAAAATACAGAGCAGCTAATATGGCCTAACTTTGATCGTGATTGTGAATTTGGAATTCATCCTGGCAGACAGGAACCTGTGCTTAGAGCAAGAGTTGCAGCTGTGTTGTGGTACAGTTTACAATCCCTACTTCTCCTTCATGATGGAGCAGAGCTGGTCATTACGTTCAGGCTTCCTGAATTTTCACAGAAGCATATAGTTTGGTGCTCAGTAAAAATGTACCACATTTTAGAAAGCAAAATTCTTTTTTTTTCTTCTTCTTTTTGGTTAGGAGCATGCATCTCAGGACTCTCGCCTTTAACATTTGGGAGTTTCCCAACGTGAGAGTCTTAACTTGCTCATCGTGTATTTTTACTCCAGGGTTTGTTTCTAATGAGATTTATGACAAGGACTCTCATTCCCCTACACCCCAGTTGTTCTCCATTTTGGGGTTTCTTTAGTCTCCTCGCTACTTGTGTTTAACTCCCTTGTCCCAATTCTGAGTTAAGGCCCTTCTGTTCTTCCTTCCACAGTTTTACTAAAAATTTTTAAAAGAACGCTTCCAAAACACCTCTTCGATCGTCTACTTTAAGATGCTTTTCTCAGATTGTTGGATTTATAATACAAACACTTCTACCTCTAAGAATGATGTGTTTTATGGGTTCTAGGTCCCTGGGAATTATGCTGAAAACTGACATATATATCACAGAAAAGAGTGAATATTTTGCTTTGATTGAAGGCAGTTGGGCATATGAAAGGAGTATATTATAAAACTGGAAAGTGAGGCTGGATTATATTTGATTTTGTAGGGAGTCACTGAACATAACTGTGCAGGAGGGTAGCCATTCTGAGAAGAGGAAGTTGAGGATACCAGCACAGTTCTTCCAGCAGAACACACACAAATACCTACAAAAAATATTTACTGCCTGATTGGGTGGATTGGAATGGGACTCTGGAGGGTGGAACATCATGAAGTGGTATAATAATCCTGGTGAAGATAATGCCTGAACATCAGGGGAGGCAAGAGGAATGTAAAGAAAGGGGTAAGCTTGTTGGGTAATTCCTTTTCTTTTTAAATATATGTGTGTGTGTGTGTGTGTGTGTGTGTGTGTGTGCGTACGTGTGCACATGCATATGTGTGTGTTTTATGATACATTCAACATGACACCTTCTTGATCCTCTTCAACCCACCAAGCAATATTCTACTATTGCCAAAATTTAAAATGTCATAAATGCTCATCTTCACAATGGTTTTGTTCATCAAATTTAAAGCTCCATTAGCATGATCATTTTTTGAAGGTTAGTTTTTAGATAAGAACTATATCTCTAAGATTTGAATTGTATTGAACTCATCAGAAGATCATGGACCAATACAGCTCACTCATTTAAACTGTTCCGGATCTAGAGGTACATTTGGTGTCGGCATAACCACTGGCCCAGAAGGATGAGCTAGCAGTTCTGTCTAGAACCAAGAACATTATTTGATGGTCAGGTAGATGGACCATGTTTGGTATTTCTGGACTACTGCATATAGATGAGATAACTCGGTACTTTGACTACAAATGAATTAACACTAAACCCAAAAGAGTACAATGAGAAAACGACATGTACACCTACATAACAAATAACTTTGCATAAAATTTGTTTATACTACAAATAACAAACAGCATAGGGAGTGATTTCCAAAATATGATGCTAATTCTCGTGCAAAAAAGAATCTCCAACTCTGCATTTCCATATTTGTAAGCTATATTCACTGCTAAGGAAGAAACATTTTCATACGTTCTTAGTTGGGAAGTCCAACATTATTCTCTAACTGTTCTTTTATGAAAATAATTTAAAATAGTTTTATATATTATCAAAGTATTACATGGTCATAGATTTTTCTCATAATATCTGTAAAATTTTCATTAAGTTCACTTACCTCCATCAAATTCCTTTCTAGATACTTTTTCCCCAAATTACCAAGTATTTTTTAAAATAATTGTCATATGAAAAAAAAATAAAATAAAATAATTGTCATATGAAATGAGGTCTACAGGTTTAAAAAAAAAGCTCAGAGCATTATCTTCACTATCAAAAGTTGCAATAAATAAGTAAATGAGAACAATAATTTACAATATAAAGAAAAAGATCCACAATGTCAAGTAGCACTAGTATCAAATTGCCCAGGTGTTCATCAGAGGGAGCAATTACTGCTCTCTGCAGAGGGTCAGGAAGGACTTCAGGAAGGAGAAGGGATTTGAGCTGGTCCTGTAGGATTCAGAGGCAAAAAGAGTAAGCAGGAGAAAGCATTCCAGGTGGGGAAATGAGAGAAACAAAGTCCAGGGAGGAAAAGTTGTCCTTTGAAGAGAAGTGAAGAAAGAGATCCCCCACCATGGCAGCATCCCACATTTCCTTCAGGTGTGAAGAAAACCTGCTGTGGCATTCAGTTGCTCAGGTGCGTGGAGACCTGAGTGGGTTGGGGGAGAAAATTAATGAGATAAAATTGAAAATCCCAGTAGAGACCATGTGACCTCTTCCTGCTCCTCAGCGGAGTACTTCAGTGAAATCTTCATGGCCATCTCCCAGTGATGTGACTCTGGTCCTAGAAGGGTCAGCAGAGGGACCAAAGCAAGTACATCCCAATGCTTAGAAAAATGACCTTAGCCCCTCTTCCACTGCTGAAGCTCAAGACATCGACTTTGTTTATGATGTCTGTGTGCCTGGGTAACATTGAGGCAGGTCTTCTGTCAGCTTACACCAAGATGAATACAGACTATGGTTATTTCATAATTAACTTAATTAACTATATCACCTAACCTTGTATTGGAAGTCTAGGCACTTTATTTGCTAGTTGCAATTTCTTTCTTTTTGTAGAATCTGACGGATGCTATTTCTAATCTGCCATTCATTCAGCTACTAAGAGTTCTTGAACACTTAGTATGTATTAAGTATTCCACTATTTGGGGTATTACAAAGAAGTAAGACATAATCCTGCCCTTTAGAAGTTTCTAGTTAGGTGAAGGAACTATGCAAACAGATGATTTCCATATGCAAGTAATGACAGTGTTTCAGAGTATCCAGTGTCAGCCAAGGAGTTTTCCTGGCACTGAGTAAATACCATTATTACTCTTCCTGGAGATGATCTCCTATCTATGGGTGGAGCGTAGCTGACAGAAAATAGTACCATGAGGAGACACTGACGGGAAGAAGGAAAATGTGAAGGCTAACTTTGGGCTAAAGATCTGTGATTACATTTTACCCACGCCCCCTAGAACAGGCAACAAGAACAGTGAGTGGAATCCTTAAGGAGTGTTCCACTTAGAAACTGACTGATGAGTGATGCTGTTAATTACAAACAGGAGTGGCAACATCAAAATAACATTCCATGAGGAGACTCCACAAGCTATGCTGTAAAGCAGTGCAAAAGGACGGGCAGGCAGGGTAAATACTAATTCCTCAGTAAAGCCACCCACCATTCTTCACTGGAGGTCTCATTAAGCAGGCTAAAGCAAGCACGGCTGTCTCTTCTACAGCACATCGCTAATACGGCGTGTCTACATGTTGCAGAGAAAGCACATGCAGTATTTAATTCTACTACACATGACTTGTTCGGATCATAGAGTTATCAGTTCTTCTAAGGAATCTGTTTTAAGTTGATATAATTACAGTGCATTTTGGTCAATCATGTAAAACAGCAATTTCCTTCTTCCTCTCCACTCATTTCAGCAACTTAAAAGGTTTCTCTCTTGGATTGAAGCTTTACGTCAGCATTATTCCAAGCTGCATTCTAGGCTAACAAATTCTCTCTATGCCCGGGGAGACAATCTTCCAGTTACGTAATATAACTCTTTGTAAAATTACCCAGGCAAAGCCACACTACTCTTGATTGTATTTAGAAGAAAAGGTTGGACCTTTCCATTGTCCTAATAAAAGCAGCTTAGACACATCTGGAATCTCCATCTGAGAAACTTCTCTTATTAGAATGAAAACGTGCTGCCAAACTGGCAAATGGGACAGGGGAGTAACACTTGAGAAGCATTCAGTGCCTGACATGCAATCAGGATGAACCACAAAGACGTGTGGCTCAAACCCTCCATATGCCTCATTGCCCAGGAGGCAGCAAGCCTGTCTGCTGGGGTTCCAGGGAGCACAGTCGGACACACTCCTCTGAGTGGAGGGAACAGCCCTGTCATCCACCATGCCATAAACATGAAGTGAGTTACTGTGGTAACCCACCAGGGCAAAGAAGGGCTGCTCAATGTTCACAAACAAATGTACAAGCGTATTTTTAAAAGCTGAAGAATGTTCTCACTCACTAAACTATTTTTCTCGGAACGGGTTGAGAACCATTACTGCAGCATTTCCCACTGGCTTCATTGTGTGCTTAGCCAGGGATACCCACTTTCAGACTAGTCTGCTGCTGATTTTCTGCACAGCTAGGAACGCCAGGTTAGGCATTCAGCTGGTCTGGGTGCTTCCTAAGACACTGTCGTAAAAAAGATCTGTCTTTAAGAAATAAAATGACTTTGCTTGCCTTAAAAGCTGTAGGACAAGGTTGTTTGAAAATTTCAAAATCTCAAATTTCTGTGGTGCTTTTATTTGCAAAG